TTAGTTTTGCCGGTCTGTCTCATCCTTCCGCCTGTGCCGACTCTGCGGCCTCACTGGTCCGGTGCTTGGCAGGTCGAACTCCAGGATGCCGGTGATGCCGATCCCTGTCGATCGCCGCCCTGTCGCCATAGGGTTGCGAACACCTTCTCCCACTCGGAGAGACCTATGGTTCGAGTAATGTCCGAGCGCAGCGCGCTCGTAGCGCTCCGCTATCAGGGTGAACAGCACCTCCGACTCCTCCGCTCCCTGGGGCAGGTAGCCCAGGTCGTCTATGACCAGCAGATCGAAGTTGTCGAGCTTCCTGAGCACCCGCGGCAGATCGAGGTCTCGCTTGGCCGCCAGCATATCCTGCACCAGGCGGTACGCCGGGATGAACAGCACGGAGCGTCCGGACTGCACGAGCCTGTGCCCTATGGCGCACATAGCGTGCGTCTTGCCCGTGCCCGGCATACCGAAGGCCAGCACGTTGACGCCTCGATCCACGAAGTCACCCTCTGCAAGTCTGACGAGCTGCTGCCTGAGTTTCACCTGCGCCCGCTCGTGCTCGAAGGTGTCCCACGTCTTGCCGGCGGGGAGCTTGGACGCTCTCCTCAGCCTGTCCACCCTCCTGATCCGCCTGTCCTCTGCCTCCTGCTCCAGAACCTCCATCAGTGTCGGAAGGGCATCAGCGTGTCCCGCATCGCTGAAGCGGTCGACCGTCTCAGCCGCAAGCGTCGGCAGCCTGAACTGCCGGCACAGATCCCTGATCCGCTCTCCCACCGCGCTCGATGCGTAAGTCTCCGTCGTCATCGCGCACCTCCCGCAAGCAGCTGGTCGTACACGCCCAGGTCCACTTCACCGGACAGCTCAAGTGCCGGTATCTCAGGAGACGCCGGCGCGGCCAGCTGCTTCACCACCGGGTAGTCGAACCTCACCTGCGACTGTAGCAACCGCTTCAGCGCTCTCTCCACCTCACATTCCATCGTCGTCGCAGCAAGGTGCAGTATCCGGACATAGTCCACATCCGCACGCTCTCCCTTCCAGCCGCACATCGCGTCGTATGCCAGACGGAAGGTGTGCGTGGGATACAGCTGCTCCCTGAAGCGGTAGCGCGCGAACGCTCCGGGCTTGCGCACAAGCGAACCTATGATGTGGCGGTAGTCTATGCGCGCCTTGCCCTTACCCCGTATCCGCTCCATGCTCTCCACCAGGTGCCCCTTGTAGTACACCTCCACGTGGTCGGGGTACAGCCGCACGTCGACCATCACGCCTATCAGCCGTGACGGCACGGAGTACGTCCTGCTGTCAACCCTGATGGTGCTCCACTTGAGCACTCTGGCGCTGTAGCTTGCGTACTCGGGCACCGGTGCGTGAGGTAGCGCCCGCAGATGAGGATACTCGCTAGCCAACTTCTCCCCTGATCAGCCTGTTACGCCTGTCCACTATGCTCCGGACGAACTTGGCGTACTGCTCCACCGACTCGAAGTCAGCACTGCCCCTGAGGACCAACGCCTGTGCTATGGAGTCCTTCAACCTGCGGTGTCCCTGCTCGGCAACCCCGTTCTCGTGCGCACTGTACGAGTTGGTCCTGGTAGCCTTCAGCCCGTAGTGGTCGAGTATCTCCTTGTAGCGCTCGTTGAAGTCCCGGCCCTTGCCGTCCTTCAGCTTGTGCGTCGCAGCAGACAGGTTGTCGCTCCTGACCACCTCCGGCGCTGCACCCAACTCCCACAGCGCTCCCTGAAGGCCGCTCCTCAGCGCCATGAACGTCTCGCTGAAACATATCTGCGCGTAGCGCCAGCCCGAATGACTCAGTATGAACTCGAACACCATATGCGCAAACGGCTCTCCGCCTATCGTCACCTTCAGACTGTCGCAGTGCGTGAAGTCCATCTGCGCCTCACGTCCCGGTGGATGCTTCTGCTCGAAGTACACCTCACGCTCAGGACCGTTCAGCGCGCGCCAGTCCCGCATACGCCTCTGCAGAGTGCGCAGATGCGTTGCGTTGAACCGCCCCGGATGCCGCTCGTCCAACCACTCGAGAACAGTCGGCGCTGCGAGTATCCTGTCCACATCCGCCTCGAGCATAGGCTCTACTTCCTCCGCCCACACGCCGGCGAACGGGTCCGGTCTCGTACTCTTCCTTCTCCTGTCCTTCTTCTCCGACGGCAACGGTCCCTTATTCCAGTTCCGCACCGACCTCTCGCTCATGTCCCGATGCCGCCGCCGCGGCCTGCTGTGTCTTGCCTTTCATCAGCTTCTGCCTCATCAATACTACCTGTCGATCGGTGAGCAATATTCCACCTCCTGGTGGATGATATTGCCCTATTACAACCGGCAAATTCTATTGTCGTGACCGGCAATTCTCATTGTCGCGTATCAGGGGCAAGGGAGGACGGAGTGAAGGAACTGCTGGGTATGGAGCTTGGCTATCGGGAGAGCACGGAGAGTTGGTCCGGTGTGCTGAGGAGCTTGAGGGATCGGGGTCTGAGTGCGCCGCTATTGGCGGTGGGAGACGGTGCGCTGGGGTTGTGGGCTGCGCTCGATGCGGTGTTCCCGACTGCGGGTCATCAGAGGTGCTGGAACCACCGTGCGCTGAACGTGCAGGCGAAGTTGCCGAAGGCGCTGAACTCTGAGGCGCGCAGGCAGTTGAGGGAGATGTCGTATGCGCCGACCCGAGTGGAGTGCGAGCGCTTGAGGGACGAGTACGTCTCCGATCTGAGAGCGGATGGTCGCTCAGATGCCGCCGATACGGTGCTTCGGGACTGGGAGTCGTTCGTGAGCTTCTATGACTTCCCGGTCGAGCACTGGGTGCATCTGCGGACAACGAATCCTCTGGAGTCGGTGTTCAGCGCTGTGAGGTTGAGGACGGACGCCACTCGACGAATGAAGAGGCGAGACAGCGCATTGTACCTTGTGTTCAAGGTGTCGCTGAGGCTGAGTGAGCGCTGGCGTCCGCTGAACGGAGGCAGAAACCTTATGGGCTTGCTGATAGATGGAGCGCGGTTCGAGGACGGTATCTTGACCGAGTTGCCGGTGAGCGCCGAGGGGGCAGTCGCCGCTTGATGAGCTAAACCACCTGGAGGCAATTTCCACAACATTTGACACAAGCTCCCGTGAACGTGTTCCGGCATAGAGCGTGAACGCACATCACAGAGATGTGAACGCAGTCGTGCATATCGCCATTCACTTATTATGATCCACTCCAGCGCTTCCAGCGCCTTCTCACCCCTGGTGTACCTCGCGGCATCTGCAACTCGCCGACGCTGCTCGTCCGTCAGAGTGGCCAGAGCGTTCACGGTGTGCTGTGTCCGGAGTGTCATGGTGCGCCTCATCTAAATGCGTGATAAGTGTGATTTTACGGCACTTAGAAAGGGAGCAGATGCCGATGACAACAGCGTTGAGTGTACCTAAGAAAAGGACCCATTTCTTGATAGCCCTACGAGGTGTCGGGTGTGCAACCTGAGCCTTAATGGCTAGCTCCAAGTGGAAGCAATCCATGTGCTATCGAATTCCAGGCGATTGATACTCCACACGTATTTGATCCCGTTAGAATTCACTGAAACCATCCGGCAGAGGTAAATTTCATCTTTCCTAGGTGATAGAGGCAGGACTAAGTCTAAATTAAGGAAGTCCAAGACCTCTTCTAGGTCGGCGGTCGTGCAGCCGTCTGTTTCAATAGCCCAGACGTCAATCCCACCTTGAAAACCAAGGCCCGATACTGTCTGCAATTCCACGCGATGCGACAGCGGGCCACTGAGGTACGCCCTACCGTGTTCCTCCATAAAGGCTTCCGTACGCCTTTGGTCCTCTTCCATGTCTTCATCGTATATCTCCATCATCTCGCCAAAGGTCAAGCGATCAAGTGGATTGGCAATGCGTCGAGATTCGATCAATGTCTTAGGGTGAATCACAAAGCTCCTAGACGCGCAGATATGGAATCCGAGCCGAAAGTACTTCCACAACGCAGGCAAGTTTCTTGGTTCTCCATGGATTTCGGCTTCCTCACAAATCTTACTAGGGCATCTAGTCCCACGTTTGACCGTCGATAATACGACCCTTTTTAATCTCAATGAATTTGGAAGATTCCCCTCGCCTCATCCACCGAGGAATGACAGGCTTACGCCGCTAAGAAGGCTACAATATCTTCCGGCACTCTAATGTTCATTTTCTGCTCGAAAGCTGAGAGTATCCCGTATCGCATCCTGAAGAACGCTGAGACGTCTAAACCCATAATCTTCGCCATCTGCTAACCCCTCTCTTGCTCGCAACGTAAGAGCTCACTGCGTCGCCAAGGACCTCTTGAAAGTACCGCCCTTCGCTGCTCGCTTTCTCTCGAAGCGCATCCATCATCTCAGGCGAGGCCTGGCTGAGAAACTCTTCCCGCTCACTGGTCATCGCCGGTAGTCGTTCTCCATGCTCATCCAAAGTTCCGCACCGACTCCAAGCACACTCTGGAAACGGTCTGCGGTCGCGAGCTCGATCGGAGCCTCTCCGTCAATTATCCCTCGTATGAGTTCCAGAGGCAGGTCGCACTTCTCGGCGAACTCGGCGCAAGATAGTCCCATCGCCGCGAGGCGCTCCTCAAGCACCCAGCCGGGTAGGACACGGTAGTCCGGGTTGTATGTGAGTTTCTTGTCGGTCATGTCAGTTACATGATACCGCAGTCCCCGATGCTACTGCCGGCCACCAGTCCTCGGGCTGCCTTCGTCCCTGAACCTTGTTCAGATGCAACGCTGGGCCACGGAGGCTAACCCAAGTCCGAACAAGAAATGCATCAGGTGCTTTTCTTCCCCTAATCTGCACATCAGGTCAACGCAGGCAGGTCAAGTCAACCCAACTGGTGTCCTGATACCAGCGCCATGGAATAAGGCCTCCACGGCGATTCTGTGATGATGAATTTCTCGACTTCGATCTGAAAGCGGTGGATTTGACGCCGATCGGGGCGCAGTCGGCGTAACCGGCTAGGCGCAGCTTCCCTCTGGCCTCAGCTCGCTGACACGCTCATCCGCGCAGATGTAGCAAATTGTCACGCCCATGTGCTCGAACTGCTGACGCGGAACACCGTGGCATCCCAATCATTGACTTATCATATCTTTATGAAGATATATCATCAAAACTATGATTTTATGATTCATCAGCATGATGCACGAAGTCAGACATCGCCTCATTCGGCGCGAATTTCTGCCGTATCAGGTACGGCGCCAGGGAAAATGCCGTCTCTGATAACATAAACTATGTGACTGGTTGAGGTGTCCTGCCGCCCACTCTAGGCAGAGGGCAAGGCTCCGGCGACCGAACGGCGCGACTCCGAATCTGTTTGGTTCGCGATGTGAGGTTCAGGTATGAGCGCCAGCGTGAAGACCCTCAGGCGCCCCGACGCGCCCGCCACCGACGACGAGTTACACGCCGCAGCCCTCCAGTTCGTACGCAAAATCAGCGGCTACCGCAGGCCCTCCCGCGCCAACGAGCAAGCCTTCAACCAAGCCGTGAACGAGATCGCCCTCACGTCGCGCGCGCTGCTGGATTCGCTGGTAACTCGATGATCAGGCTGGCTGACTGAGTCACTCGCGAACCGCTCCAACTAAAACAGCGCATCGCTCGCATACTGCACCGCCTCCATCAGCGGCGCCGGATACACTCCTAGTCCGACCATGCCCGCGAACAGCGCCCCCAGCACACCCAGCGTCAGGCGCGGCACGGGTATCGGCGCCGCGTCCTCCGCAGGCTCGATGTAAAGCTGCCGCACCACCTGAAGGTAGTAATACAGTGAAATCAGGCTGGAGAATATGGCAATCCCAGCGACCCACAGCAGCCCCTGCGCGGCAGCGGCGTTGAACAGGTAGAACTTGCTCGTGAAGCCCACGAATATCGGCAACCCTGCCAGCGAGAACAGCGACACTGCGAAGACCAGCCCCACCAGCGGCGCGCGCCGAGCAACACCCGCCATGCCGGCAATGTCGTCCCGCCCCGTGATGTTGTAGATAGCTGCAAGACACAGGAACGCCGCCATATTCGTTACGGCATACGCGACAAGGTGCAGCATGATGCCGTTGGACGCAAGGTGCGACAACTCCAGCGATACGCCGCCTGAGCCAGTCGCGGCGAGCGCGGCGACGCCCATCAGCAGGTAGCCCACCTGCCCCACGCTGGAGTACGCCAACAGTCGCTTCAGGTTGCGCTGCGCCAGTGCGACAAGGTTGCCCAGCAGCATCGTTATCACGGCGAGACCTATCAGCAGTATCTGCCACTGCTCCACGATGGGCATGAACGCCTCTGCGAAAAGCCGCAGCACCAGCGCGAACGCCGCAGCCTTCGACCCCACCGCAAGGTGCGCCGTAATCGGTATCGGCGCGCCCTCATAAGCGTCCGGCGCCCACATGTGGAACGGCACCGCAGCTACCTTGAACCCAAGCCCCGCGATTATCAGCGCAATCCCCAGTATCAGCCCCGGACTCAGCGCGTCCGCAGACGAAAGCGCACTGCTAATCTCATCGAACCGAGTTGTGCCCAGCAGCCCATACACCTGGCTGATGCCAAAGAGCAGCAGCGCCGACGAGAAAGCTCCCAGCAGGATGTACTTGGTCGCGCCCTCATTCGACTTCGCGTTGTAGCGGTCGTAAGCCACTAGCACATACAGCCCGAAGCTCAGCAGCTCCAGCGATATATACGCCGTCAGCAACTCCCCCGACGCCGCAAGCAGCATCATGGCGACCACGGTGAACAGCAGGATGCCATAGTATTCGCCCGGATGCTCCAGGTTGCGCCGCACGAAGTCCACCGACACCAGCACCACCACGCCGCCCAGCGCAATGAAGAACGCCTTGAAGAACAGCGCATACCCATCCACACGGATCACGCCGTCATACAGCGAATCGCTCACCCCCCACAGATACCGCAGCGATACGACGAGCGCCACGACAAGCCCCACAACCGCAACAATCGGCAGCACCCACTTCCGACGCTCCGGCAAAAACAAGTCCAGCCCCAGCACGACAAAAGCCAGGCCGGTGACGATGAACTCCGGAAGCAGGAGAAGGAAGTTGTTGTTCATCTTTTCAAGCGCATAATGTACCAAACAGTCGCGCAGAATTGCGCTAGGCAATCAACGATTGACGCGGGTGTTATTATACCAGCGATGGCGTTGACTAATGATGCCTGTTTCTACAGCGTGATGCGATGACTCCGACGAACGCGCTGCCGCACAACGGACGCCAGCTAAGCACCCTTTCCCGATACCGCCGAATGGAGGACGCTACATGGCTTACAGACCCGGCTTGCCGCGCGGACGCAGCGCCTCCCGAGATGATGACCCACGATATTTCAGGCCCAATTTGCCAGCCATGGGGCGGGATCCGATGAGACTTTCGAACCCCGTGATGATGAGGGCGATGAAGAGGAGTCGGGTTGCGGCTGCGGTTGCGCGATTATCTTCGTCGTATTGATTGCGGTCGTTGTCGCGTTGGTGATGTTCTTCGACTGGGCGCCGTGGGAGTATTTCGGCTGGGACGCACCCTGGGAGTATTCAGGGAGTTCTTAGAATAGTCTGGAGAATAGGAAGTCACCCAAACCGCGCCAGCACCTCCGCAACACCCCCGTTGATAACCCGCAGGAACGGAAACGGAAACAGCCCCACCAGAAGCACAAACGCTGTCAGCACAGACGCCGCTAATACCTCTGTGCGTGTGGCGTCCATAGATTTCGGTGCCGCTTCGCTTAGTGCGACTGCTTGCGCAAACTCACCTCCACTGCCCTCGGATGGCTGACCGCCGACCGCTTCCTCACCATGCGCTCCCGACTCCACCTCATCCGGCAGCGGCCCCATCGGTCCAAAGAACACCTTCGCCAGCAGCCGTAGGATATACACCGCCGTTATCGCCGCGCCTATGACGCCCAGTACGCCCAGCACAGGATATGTCTTGAACAGCCCCAGGAACACCAGCAACTCCGCGACGAACCCGCTCAGCCCCGGCAGTCCCAGCGAAGTCAGCCCCGCGATGGTGAAGAACACCGCCGTCACGCCCATGCGCTTTGCCAGACCGTCCAGCACCAGCATATCGCGCGTGTGCGTGCGGTCATACACCACGCCCACGACGGCAAAGAAGAGCGCAGTCATTATGCCGTGAGAGAACATCTGCAACACCGCGCCGCTCAGCCCCAGCGGATGCAGCGTGGCGATGCCCATCACCACATATCCCCATGTGGCTCACGCTCGAATACCCGATAACATACTTCAGGTCCGACTGCCCCATCGCCGAGATTGCGCCGTAGATGACATTCACCGTGCCAAGCCCGACCAGCGCAGGCATCCAGAACTCCGCGCCCTCCGGCAGTATGACCATACCAACGCGAATGATGCCGAACGCCCCCAACTTCATCAGCACGCCCGCATGCACCATGCTCACCGCAGTCGGCGCCGCCACATGTCCGTCCGGCGACCATGTGTGAAACGGCCACAGCCCTGCGAGTATGCCAAACCCGATTGCAAGGAACGGGAAGAAGATTTTCTGAAAAGTTGGCGAGTACTCCACCACCGCAAGGCGCCTGATGTCAAAAGTGCCTAGGTTCGCCTCCACGAAGATAGCCATCAGCGCGACCCATATCAGCACGCTGCCTGCCACCAAGTACAGCGTCAGCTTCATCGCGCTGTACTCCTTCGTGCGGCTGAACTTCGGGAATTGGCTGCTGCTCCCCCACACGCCGATGAGCAGGTACATCGGCAGCACCGAAAGCTCGTAGAAGAAGAAAAAGAAGAACAGGTCGTATGAAGCGAACACCCCGAACACGCCCGCCAGCAGCAGAAAGTACAGGATGAAGAAATCCTTGTTCCACGACTTGATGGACCACGACACCAGCACACCCGTGAACATCACGATGCCCGTCAGCAGCACCATAGGCGCGGCTACGCCATCCACTCCCAGCGTCAGCGATATTCCGATGTCCCCGAACTTCCACGGACCCGGTATGCTCAGCCACCGCCATGTGCTGTCGAAGCGCGCGCCGTCCCCATCGAAGTAGTACCTCGTGAACACATAGAACGACAGTAGCAGCACTACCAAGCCGAAAGCAGTCGCCGTCCCGCGTATCGCCCCGTCTCGCGCGCTTGGCGTAGCCATAATCACCACCGCCCCAACCATCGGCAGCGCGATTATCGCAAGCAAAATATGCTGGTCAAAAAATGGCATGCGCTTATTTTACATGCTAGGAAGGTATTAAGGGGATAGTTTTAAACAAAGTCAGGTAGCCTTCGGAATCTCTAGCGGCAGTTGACGCTCTTCACTCCTTCATCGGCGCACGCCCACTCCGCCCCCATCCTTGCTTTCACACCCACAACGCAGGTATAATCACCCATAATTTACTCTAGGAGGTGAACCGCATGGTTTGCCACGGAGCGGAGTGTTCCGACTAAAGACGAAGTGCTAGGATACCTGAGCGAGCGGCGCAACTGGGGGCGCTGGGGCGACAAGGGCTCGGCTGGCGCTATGAACCTCATTGACGATCAGAAGCGGCTGCAAGCGACGGGCTGGTCGAAAAGGGGCGCACCGTGTCCCTCAGCAGGCCCTTCCCCGTCACGCCTAATGCGGAGAACCCGCGACCGGCGCAGCACTACATGCAGGTCTGGGAAAGGCCCGGCAATTCCGGCGCGGCGGTGGACTACTACGGCATCGTATATCACGGCACATCCACCACACACATCGACGCCCTCTGCCATGTCTGGGACGAAAATGGCATGTGGGACGGCAGAAAGCCCGAAGACACGCTCACCTTCGAGGGCGCGAACTACGGCACTGTGGACGCATGGAGCGACGGCATCCTTACGCGCGGCGTGCTCCTCGACGTTCCCAAGCATCGCGGCAAGCCCTATGTTACCGTCGAAGAGCCAGTACATGGCTGGGAGCTTGAGGACATCGCCAAGGAACAGGGCGTAGAACTCCAGCCCGGCGACGCCGTCATGGTGTATAGCGGACGTGAGTTATTCTCCGCCGAGCACGACGGCATCTGGGCAAACTCCGTCACCGGCGAGCCGCGTCCCGGACTTCATGCGTCCTGCCTCCCCTTCGTACGCGACAGCGACATGTCCCTCCTCGGCTGGGACATGATGGACGCATCGCCCAACGAGTACGACATCGGCTGGAGCGTTCACGGCGTCATCTTCGCCTACGGCGTGGCGCTGCTCGACAATGCCCTGCTAGAGCCGCTCGCCAACGCCTGCGCCGAAGAGGGCCGCTACGAGTTCATGATTAGCATCAACCCGCTCAACGTCATCGGCGGCACAGGCTCGCCCGTCAACCCTATCGCCGTCTTCTGATCGCCGCTACAATTGATGGGTAGGACTAAGCGGATACCTTTATATCGTGTATCCGCCCCATCCTGCCCATCGCCCTAGCGGTTTGTCAAGGAGGCTACCATGACCGAAGAGCGCGCCTACCCACTGCAGATCCGCGGCGACCTGTCGCCCGATCTCAGCCGCTGGCTCTGGCTGGTCAAGTGGCTGCTCGCTATTCCGCACTGGATTATCCTGTTCTTTCTGGGGATAGCCTCTTTCGTTGTATGGTTCATCGCTTGGTGGGCAATACTATTCACCGCCAGATATCCAAGGGGCATGTTCAACTTCACGGTGGGGGTATCGCGCTGGTCGTGGCGGGTGAAGTTCTACGCCTGCATGCTGGGTACTGACCGCTACCCACCATTCACTCTTGCAGCAGACGTAGATTATCCCGCTAACCTGTCCGTCGAGTATCCGGAGCGGCTCTCGCGCATCAAGGTCATATTCAAATGGTGGCTGCTCGCAATACCCCACTACATCATCTTGTACTTCTTCGGCGGGCTGAGCGCCGCGCTGTCAATCATCGCCGGCATCATCCTGCTGTTCACCGGAAACTATCGCGGCGATGTGTATGGGGCGCTGATGGCAGTCATCGCTGGCAATGGCGCGTTACGGGTTACGCATCGTTCCTGTACGACGACTACCCGCCCTTCGAGTTCGACACCTCATCGGGCTAGACACGGGGCTAACAGGCTATTCATATCCTGCTCCTGCGAGGGATTGGAGGAACTGACTGACTAGGCTCTGTTGACACTTGATACGCAAAGCATTTTAGACTTGAGAAGTATGTTTATTCTGTGATTCTGAACCGCTCTCCTATTCTGTCATTCTGAACGCAGCGCAGCGGAGTGAAGAATCTAAACTCATTGCACATACGCCATTCACAGACTTCAGATTCCTCCTTGCGCTCGGAATGACAGGGGACAAATGAGAAATGTCCACACAACCTAGCTGACCGACTGACATACCGAAAATCCTTTCCATCCATGCACACCGGTGCAAATGAGGGAGGCTGCCAATGGCCGAGAATAACGACACCCCAACATACCCCGCATACCCACTACAATTCCGCGGCGACCTGTCGCCCGATCTCAGCCGCTGGCTCTGGCTGGTCAAGTGGCTGCTGATAATTCCGCACCTGATTGTCCTTCTTGTCCTGAGTATAGTCTCTCTTATTCTGACAATCGTCGCCTTCTTCGCGATTCTCTTCACAGGCAAATACCCAAGAGGGATGTTCAATTTCAATGTGAACGTGCTGCGCTGGAAGTGGCGAGTTCTGTTCTACTCTTACCTCGCTCTGGGCACGGATCGCTACCCGACCATTTAGCCTCACTCCAGACGACTATCCCGCAAACTTGGAGGTGGAGTACCTGAAAGGCTCTCCCGGCTGAAGGTACTGTTCAAGTGGTGGCTGCTCGCAATCCCGCATTACATACTCCTCGAAGCCCTCTTCGGACTGGCATTCACGCTGACTATCTTTGCCGGGGTCGTGATGCTGTTCAGAGGATATTACCCGAGGGACATGTTCGAGGTAATCATGGGATTCGATCGCTGGATGCTGCGGGTTGCTGGATATGTCACTCTGCTCTATGACGACTACCGCCATTCCGCTTCCGTCCGTAAGAGGGTAAGGCATGGGACTGACAGGGAGCTAACATAGATTCAGGGGATTGACAGGAACCTACCTTGATCGAAGAGCGCGCATATCCACTGCAAATCCGCGGCGACTTGTCGCCCGAACTCAGTCGCTGGCTCTGGCTGGTCAAGTGGCTGCTTGCCATGCCAGCACTTCATCGTGCTGATATTCCTCTCGCTCGCCGCCTTCGTCGTCTGGGTATCGCGTGGTGGGCAATCCTCTTCACCGCGCGCTACCCACGCGGCTTGTTCAACTACATCGTCGGCGTCATGCGCTGGTGGTGGCGCGTCAGTTTCTACGCCTTCTATCCGTTAGCCACAGACCGCTACCCGCCGTTCAGCCTGAAGTCCAACGACGATTACCCCGCAGACCTATATGTGGAATATCCGGAGCGACTCTCACGAGTCAAGGTCATCTTCAAGTGGTGGCTGCTCGCAATCCCGCACTATTGGTCGTAATGCTCTTCGCAGGCATGCAGGCGCTCCTGCAAAACGCCATTAACACGATCGCTCTGGGATTCGGTGTCTTGCAGGTCGGCGACTCCGGGGACAAAGAAGTCTTCGAGCACGGCTTGACGCTGATAATCATGGGCGCGAGCAGCCTGCCCTTCGCCGCCATTGCAGCCGTCGGGCTGATGGGAGTGCTCGTACTCATCGCCGCAGTAACGCTGCTGTTCCGCGGACGCTACCCCACTGACATATTCGAGCTTGTCATGGGCATGCAGCGCTGGAGCTACCGCGTATCCGGCTACTCCGGCCTACTCTACGACAACTATCCACCCTTCCGCCTGAAGCCATAACCGGCTGACACGGACACACAGGATAGACAGCCTTCACCCGCAAGGGCTATCCTGTACACCCATGCTATTCGAGATAACGCCCACCGCGCCCTACGACTTCGACCTCACAGTCGGCAGCATGACCTACTTTCAGACCCGTCACGCCGCCGATATGTTCGAGGGCGGCATCCTGCGCCGCGTCCTGCCCCTAAACGACAAGCCCGCGCTCATATCCGTGCGCTCCGTCGGCAGCGTTGACGCGCCACGTGTCTGTCCGTCGAAGTAAGCGGCGAAGACCTGACATCAGCCGACATCGACGAGGCGCAGCGCATCGTGCGCCGAATGCTCGCCACCGACTCCGACATAGCCGCCTTCTACGCGATGGCGCTCGACGACCCGCATCTCGTCCCGCTCGTGCGCAACATGCACGGGCTGCGACCGACCTGCGCGCCCACCGCGTATGAGGCGCTGGTGCTGGCAATACTTGGACAGCAGATAAGCACGCATGTGGCGCGGATGCTGCGCAACCTGATTATTGAGACATACGGCGACCGCATCACGATCGACGGCGAGACGCTGCACTCGTTCCCGCGAGCGGAGACACTCGCAGATGCCGGGCCCGACGGACTGCGCGCGATTAAGTTCAGCATGCGCAAGGCGGAGTACATCACGGGCATATCTCAGCAGATAGTGTCCGGCGAACTGTCATTGGAGGCAATGCGCGATCTGCCCGACGACGAGATTGTCAGCGGCCTGCTTGCGCTGCGCGGCGTGGGCCCGTGGACGGCGCACTGGATGCTAATGCGCGCATTCGGGCGGCTTGACGGCTTCCCGCAAGGCGACCTCGCGCTGCAGCGCATGATGGGCATCCTCGTAGGTGACGGCGCGCCCATGCCGCCGGACGAAGCCCTCGCCTACTCCGAACGCTGGTCACCATGGCGCAGCTGGGTGACCACCTACATGTTCGGCGCGGGGCGCACAGGCCGCTTTGCCGAGATTGTCACGGGCAAGTAAAATAGTCCCAAAGGCATGCATAAACAGGGAGCCGTCCCATGGCGCTTGCAATCGACAGCAAAGCCGACCCGAAAGCAGTAGCGGTAGCCCGCGCCGTATATGACGCTCTGCCTCTCGACTCCGTCATCCTCTTCGGCTCACGCGCCCGCGGCGACCACCGCGAAGACTCAGACATCGACCTGATGCTGATATGCGACGGGCACATGTCCAAAGAGAATTACCGCAAGGCGACCATAGCCGCGCACGACGCCATCAAAGAGGCTTTCGGCATCCGCTGGATAATAGGCGTTGACCTTGTGCTCATAGATAAGAGCGAAATACCTGCGCTGTCGCGGCGGCATCAACCATATAACCGCCCAAGCCGCAAGAGACGGAGTTGATATGAACGGCGACAAGCAGGAATATCAGCGCGACCCTGAACCCTTCGACT